CAACCAAAAAGGACACCTATGGTTGGGGGGTTGGCTTAGAAAAAAGCGGGGCATCCCGTTGGAAAACATCTGAAGCACGGTTGAGGTTGGTCAAAAAACCGGGAGATGTATGTTTGGTGGTTCGTCGGTCTGGCCCCACCAAGCGTGGCTTGGTGAAGTGGACATGTGTACAGATTCTAACATGTTGGGCTTGAAAAGACCACCCTCCCCTCTCAAGTCCTTTCCATCGTCTGCTTCATGCCTTGTAACGAATGTATCAAATCTGGGCAAATTGTTCTGCAGTTCACTGCCTTGTGGTATTTGCCTGGTGCAGGATACTGATCACAAGCCCAAAATGGGGTCCTCCAAACAAGAGACACACCCAAATCGAGGGGTCGCTTTCTCTCCCATGAAAAAAGCATGGGTGAAGTCGGCCGCAAACCAAATCCTTTGTGAGGTCGCTCTGATTTGGTGAGAAATGCGGGGTGGTGATGACCCACACACAGGAAATCGTACAACCACATTCGTTATTTTTATCTGGGGGGGTTGGTGCTAGCTCTCTCTCACGGGGATATCCGGGTCGTCAGAAGCCACCAGAAACCCATTTCGCTAGGCCCAGAATCTGGAAGCAAGTAAACAAAAGGGTTGATAAAGAAACGGCACGCCCAAAGATCGTGGCCCTTGGTCGCCTTTGCACTTAGGGAGTCTCGCGGCACAAAAATCAGTCGACACATCGGTTTTTGAATTCTAATAGGGGACCCTTTGGTGGAGATCGCTTAGGATTCATTTACCAACCGCTCTCGAGGGGGCTCCGAAGTAATATTCATAATCATATGATCTGCATGGACTGCTTGAAGGCCAAATGTTTGTCACAAATACTCTCGATGAAACTGTCCATGGGGAGGAAAATCACTCGCCCATCTTGTATACTCCCTGGTGCGCCAAAATATGGTTGTATATCATATATCATACATCCCCTGTCCGCAGATTCTGTAATTCCGAGCAAGGGATCCCCAAGCAAAGGACATTCATCACAGTGAGTTGGCTTGGCCCATTCTCGGACACTTCGGCCTAATCCCACAGCCAACTGCCAGAAAAACACAGCAAAACCATGGCGTCCTTTTCCACGAATCAGACTACACTTCCCGCAGCATTCCTAAGGTGGGGCCCTTTTAAAAACATGGACCACCACCGCCACCACCCAACCATTCCTAAGCTAAGGCCCTAAAAAGATGGCCTCACCGACATTTCGCCAAATTCGACCCAACAGAACTCCCCTTGGCGTCCCTTGAATTTCTGGAGACCCTCCCGAGCCCCGGGCTGCAGAGGGTGCCTGAGAGAAAAGCGCGGCCCCCGTAGCCTGTATCCTCTGGTTCAAATTGGCAAATGAAGGTGTGTGTGTGTTTTTTTTGTAAAGGGCCACTCCAAGCTCGTGGTTTCCTGTTGGTTTCCTTTTAAAAACGACAAAAATGGGCTGGCCTCAACAAAAGACACCCAAACGGCAGCTTCTCAAGATCGGAAAAACGAACCCCTTTGGTTACAGTATGCAAAACGAAACCAAACGGAAACCGATCTTTTAGGGGGCCGCGAATTTGAGAAACCCCCAAAAGGGACTTTTTCTTGAAACTCTATCTCTGCGGAATGGCGTGTAATGTGCATGTGGAGCAAAAATGGCACATGACAATTCTGTTTTGGTTGAGCATGACAACTGGTGTATGTCATGATCGCATCTATTGAATGTCTCCTCCAGACATGGCGAACCTCTAAAATCACAAATGGACACCTGTTGTTCTTTTTGAAGATCACACATGGGGATGTGGCCAAGTTTGTGATGCCGGTGTTCTCTTGGTGGATTGTGAAGGGCCGACTAAAAGACACACCCGATTCGCCAAATGCCCACATACCGGAGCTTTGGCTAGTTTGCTGCAAACTATCCTGTAGCTGGTCCCTAGACGGTCCCCCCTGCAAATGAACATGGAAGCCGAAAAGGAGTGCCGTGAAAAGCGGAGCGCTTCTCTTAGATTCCGGTCCAACATGCCGCGAGAATACATGAAAGGAGTTCAGCAAAAGGATGACTCCCTGACAAAATCAAGAGGTTGCCAATCCCCTTACGCTTCCTTTCGGTGAGGGTCAAGTTGTTCATTGTTTCCCAAGAAGACAACAGGAAATTTAACGCCCGTCGCGGCAAATTTGGGTCCTATGTCCTCCCGAAACCAACAGTAGACTACAAACAAGATTGTCGGTTTCTGACACGGTTTCATGGCGTGGTGGTCTCCCCCTCTCTCCTTCGCTCTCTTTTGCCATGCTCTGCTTTTGTTCCAGGTTTCTTCAGCCTCATTTTTTGTTTGTTTCTCTCAAAATGCTGGAACCCTCAAACTGGTTGGTCTCCTTTGGGTTTCCCGTTACACCGCCCCAACAAGCGGTGTTTCTTCTGAGACCCCTCTCTCCCTCTTTTCCTTTGTTCGCAAGGGCGTCCCGGCCACAAAGCGCCACTGCAGACACCATCGTGTGCTTTCAGCACCCGGTAGTTCTTGCACTTGGCCCAATCCCAAAACCTCGGGGCTAGTGAGGTCTGGGCGGTCTGGGGGGCTCAGATCCCAAAGGGATCCGGCAGACAAGTCGGGGTCGGCTTCTAAGGGAGGAGAACCCAAATCAAAGGACGCACACATATCTAATCCCTGTTCAGGTCCTGTCGCTTTTAAGTGCCCTTGAATCCTCCGGAAACAAAAGTGCCCAGACTGGGACAAGTCCCAGGTCCAAAGGGGAATTCTGCAGGGTCATTTCAACTATCACTCCTAGTAGTAACATGGCGCGGCATACCCGTCATGAATGGTACAAGAAGGAAACACAAGGAGAACATATTTTGCGCGGATGCAAAATACTCCGCGCGCATGTTACAAGATCGAACCCAACAAAGACCTCTGCAGGAATCTCCTTTTGGGTGATTCCTTCTTTCGTTTGGGGGGGGGTTCTGCTCTTAATTTTGCAGCGGAGCATGTGGGTGGTTTTTGTCAAATGAATTCGCCCCCTGGGTGTCAGTTCTGCACATCAAACAAAAATTCCTCGTCACTGGTTGCTTTCTTGGGGAGGTATGTTAGTTCGCGGGGGAGTGGGTGTGTTTTTGTGGCTACCTTTTTTTTGTGGTGCGCAATAGCAAACCACAGGAAATCCCTAATTTTATTCTGCGGTGCTCATGGAAACTTGTGGGAACTTCCCATTCTCCTGTGATGCTCAAGGAAAACCAAGGGAAAACCCCGAATTATTCGCGGAGCCCGCCGGCTCTTGAGGCCGCGGCCAAAGCTTGCCATCCGCGTCCCCGGACATGACCCATTTGCCGTCCGCGGACCATCCGGGCCTCGCGGAGAGCGCTGAACGAGGCCCAGCGGCCGCGTCAAAAACCGAGACGTGGACACCTCGTCTCTTTTTGGGGCGCTCGCTTTTTTGGAATCGGACCCCCGAAATGGATGTCGGCGTCCTCTGGGTTTCCCTGTTTCCCTTGAAAGCCACAAAAAAGGTACCAGCCTCAAGAAAAGACACACCCAAAAGGAACCTGAAAGACTGGCGGATGGCAAACCCAAGGTCCATGTTTTCTCTCAACATTGGTGGCCTCCATCAGATCGACACATGCGCAGAGGGGGCCTTGATGATGCCGGGGGAAGACTCACTTCCGATCGAGCGGTTTGGTCAAGAAAAGTCGCAGCTTGTTGGTTGCCACTAAAGAGCGTGTTCCCGAAAAAGCTGAAAGTGAGAATACAAGGGGCTATGTAATTAGAATGGACATCTGGGGCACGGGATCAAACTTAGTCATCGGAGAGGTTCATTGTAATTGTTCAGCAGTTCAAGCCTGCTTTGGATTTCCTACCAAAGCGGTTTCCTGCTCAACATGGCGTCCCAATGTTCGGGCGCTGTCGCGAAGCTTGAAAAAAGGCTTCGAACAGAAGCTGATACAAAAGGGTTCGACCAGCAACCGTGTGAAGGATCAAAAGTATCCACACCTTTATGTTTGGGAGTGTGTCCTATTGACCTTCATTTAAATGGCGAGTCCCATGCCCCACCTGCTTTTGACGGGCCTGTCCCACAAAACAACAACCGATAGCCACTCCGAAATAGCCTGAAGTATTTGACACCCATGTTGAAAAGTGTCTCAGACAAGAGGCGTGTCAGAACTGAAACGAAACCGCACTTCAAATCCCCTGGAACGAGCAATGCCCCGATCTCGGCTTCGCCGCGTGATGGCATAGCCAGCGTTGATGTGCCCCTGACGGTCCGCTGGCTCGAACCGACTCTCCAGGCACCACTTGGTAGGTGGCTTATCCCAAGATTCATAGGGCGGGATTTGGTCCATCCACAGGGTGTTCTGGCAAAATATCCACCTGGCTCTGTGCCGACATATGTCTCCAAATATGGAACCCTCCAGAAGCGAGTTCGCTTTGTTTGCCCTTGAAAACCAAATCTAACTTTGTTTAAAGGTGACCCACAAGACGAGACACACCCGTACGAAACCTACCACTTGTCCTACACTTTTGCCAAGAGTCCGCTGACGGGTCCAGACGTTGTGCCAACCCCCAAAGGGAATGAATAGGCACTTTCTTGGGTCCAGAAGTGCCATTGGGCCAGTTCCGGCGGAGGCGACGGTTCGCTACAAAGCTTCCTGGCTGGATTGGCCAGGAAGTTTTAAATCCAGACCAACGACTAAAATGAAGCACAGGGATTTGCGGAGCGATCATATCACGAAGTGGCTGACAACTGGTTACTCCGCACAAATGGCAAGCAAGGCCAACTGAGCAGAGCCATCGAGTTGTGTTTCTAAGATGGCGACAAATCAGCTTCCCTCTAATTGGTGGTTTGGAGCCGAGTCGGTGGTTTGGTGGTTAAGACAAAAGCCAGGGGTTCAAGTCCAAATCCAAGCCACCAATCCAAACCACCAACTAAGGGTTGCCTGAACAAACACTTGTAGGAAACTCACGTTGAATGGGCAAGGTAAAAGGCGATACGGGAAGAAACACCAAGTGAGAAGGAAGCGTGCCTGCAAAAACCAAAACGAAACTCGAGGGCCTTGTTTTGGTCGACTTCAAAGAATCAGCCTTTAAAGTAATGGTGCAAACAGTTCTTGCCCGACATGCCGCATGAGGTTGCATTGGTGCTTCTCTTCCTTTCACTACCTCAGTCTTGTCGGCACCCTCGAGCCCCCAAGTGCAAATGACATGTTTAGATTGTGGCCACCGTCCACCATCAACCTCCCGCTTCCTGAACACACAGCGAGAGAGAGAGAGAGAGAGAGAGAGTTGCTGCCAGCCCTCCATCCCTCCGCGCCCTAAAGGTCTTGCGGGCGATGTACTTGAACCGCCCAAAGGCCTGCGGTTGAAAGATGAGCCAAATGCCAAAACAGGGCCCTACCACTGGGAACGACACGACCAACCAAAGACTCTGACAAGACTGATTTGGTACCTGGTGCGTTTGTTGATTAAGATCACCATGTTGGTTGAAGGCTGACATGTAAATTCGGACTGTTGTGGACACGTGCTTCAAGATCGACAACCCTTCCAAGTCAGCCAAGGAAACTTCCTTGAGTTGACTGGCCAGGAAACGTGTGACTTGACCAAAAACGAAGAAACCCACCAATAAAAGTTTGAAGTTTGCCAGCTCATCTAAGTCTTCTGTCACAGCAGGAGTGAGCCACATTCTACCTGCTTCCCCAAGACGTGCTCAAAAATTGTCTTGGCCGAGCCCGCTTTCCTGCTGAGAATTGGGCGGACGAGTCTAAGCAGAAAAAGTTCGCCCGTTTTCCTGTGGGAGGGCCATCGGAGAAGGATCGGTGAGAATGGGTTGACTGCCTCTACTTCTAAGAGGCCGGGTACCCTTTTTGGTTTTGGGGGAAATCACAAGGAAGACCCGGTCTTTTTTTCGGGGTCCAGATCCCTAGCCAAACAGGCCAGGGATAAGCTGGAGTGAAACTTGCTGGGGCCTTTGGCGCTCCTTTTCGCCCCTCTGGTACCAACGCGGTATCGCCCCAAAATGTCGAGAATATGAGCTCGATCCGAAAAGATCGCCTAAACGGTTTCCTCCAAAGGAACGCCTTGCCTTTCCTTTTGACTTAACCTTGGGGGAAATCAGGGGTACCCTGCTGCCCCATAGCACGGAATCCATGAGAGGGCCCCCTTTTCCCGCAGTCAAACCAGGACCATTCAGCCCAATTGATAAGTGCCCGTTCCGTGGGTTTGTAGCAACTCCCACGGAAAGGGGGCTTGGGAACACGAACCCCTTCCCTGACGTTGGGGCGTAGTAGATGCAACTCAGGTGTGTCTCAGGAAAATCCTCCCTTTGAACATGAGACCGGGCCCCCAAACAAAAGATTCCCATCGTCCCCGATATCGAGTCCAAAAGGGACCCAGCCTGTGTGACAACTTTGAGGCAACAGTGGGGGGAAAAAACAAACTCTTGGAAGCCCTCAAAAGGAAACCCATCCCCCCAAACAACAATGACAAAAGTGCACCATTTGGAGGTCAGGGGACCCTTATCCAAAAAGATCTAAGACCCTCCGGTCAGGGCCCCGCATTTCCGGGTCACAAGCGACTCTCTCGATGAAACTCATCCGAGCTTCGCAGGAGTGAATTGCAACATTCACGGAAAGGAACCACCTCATGGATGTGTCTCGGAACCCCCTTTTGCATTGGTTTACAAGGGGAAATGAACATGAAGCCAATAATTGTCGGGGTTCGCTCAACGTGTGAGACAAGCCCATGGTTGTGCAACCAAATCCGTAAGTTCGATCGCTTTGATTTGCCCATGGTTCTTGTGGAACTAGCTTTCAGCCCCCAAAATCTTTTGGTTCATGTGCCAGAACAACCGGTTGGGGCTCAAAAAACAGGACTCGCGCGAAAATGTCCCAAAAACTGACGCCATTTCCGGGGGAGGGATGTAACGTGACAGCATCCCAACGTGTGGCTCCTGCTTTGGGCGGCACCCTGTGGTTGTTAGTTTAGAGGGCAGCCAAAGGAAAACCACTCATGTTTTTTGCCCAAAATCCGTGTTGGGCAAAACAGAAAACACCGTGAATTCCCGTCCGTCCGCGCCTCGTAGGCGATGATCTTGTTGTCCATGGACTGCCCGATTACATACTTCTGGTCCGGGCTCAGGACGATCTGGCCGATCCAGGCCGTGGCCCAATCCGCATGGCTCACCCCAACCCAACTTCGAGTCCTTTAAGACCCTCAGAGAAGACAACTGGTTGGGTGTACGTCCGGGATGACCCTCAAAAAAAAAACACTCCCAGAAAGCTTGCGCCTCCCAGAGCTTTGGTTTCACTTTCGCTTTCACCTTTCCTTCAGTTCGCCAGAAAAGCAAAGCTCCCAGTGCCCTCAAAGAAACCTCCCGAACTTGGCAACCCGAAAGCCTTCCCAGCAGCCCAAAGACTCCCATCCAACTCCGCGACGGGAAACCCCACGAAAATGCCCCGTGGCCCCACCAAACTGTGCTTTGTTCCTCTCTTGTCACAAGTTAACCTGTTGTTTCTTTGTTTGTTGTTGGTAGCAGTAATCTTGCTTAGCATCATCATCATCATCATCATCATCATCATCATCATCATCATCATCATCATCATCATCATCATCATCATCATCATCATCATCATCATCATCATCATCATCATCATCATCATCATCATCATCATCATCATCATCATCATCATCATCATCATCATCATCATCATCATCATCATCATCATGTTTCGTTTATAAATCCGCCGAAACTCAATTCCAAAGTCTATGGCTGAAAGGAAATGCCGACCACTGGATCGAATGGGATCCAGCCTGGGGAATGGAATGCATTGTCGGCTCAGCCTCAGCTCGGTTGCCAGACGGGGAAGAAAACCTCCAAGGAAAGGGGTCCTTACTGGATACAGCGGACCCCTTCTTTGGTGGTTGTAAAGGCATCAAAGTGGATCCTCTACATCAACTGGTAGGGACATCTTAACTAGCCCAGGTGCATCTCTGTGTTCGGGACGAAAAGGCAGTCTCAAAGAACAGCTCTGCGGCAACAGAATCAGGATAAAGCTTCAAGAACACAAGTACACGATAAAATGTTCAAAAAAAAATGAATGCAAGCAAAACGCGTACTCCAAACAACTCGCCCAGCGCCAGTTTTATGGGATCTAGCCCACGGGCTTTCCGCTTCTGGCCTGAGGTCAAACTTTCGGTTGGGTTCGGTGACTCGGGGTGAGAAATGCTCCAATTCCCCGCGGGAGTCCATGGGCGTCTTTGGTTTGAAGGTATCCCTTGGACCCTTGGTTTCAAAGAGAAATCAAAGTGAACCCTCCATTTTTTGCTTCTGGGAGGGTTCCCCTATCTAAAGACACACCCAAATAGTAACCAAGGGAAGCAACCCACTTCAAGGAAATTGACGATGGGCTACCTATAGTGGCGAAACACCTATCTGGGCAAACTACAAATACCCTTCCACAAACAACATATAAGAAGACAATCCTGGAAGCCCATTTTCCTCAAGGGGACCGGTACCTGTGCCGGAGCCACAGACTTCGCTAACTTCGAAGCTCGGTCTGGCTGGGTCAGCAGGCGATGTGCTTCACAACCACTGGAATGCCGAACTCCCAGAGGAACATCCTCAGGCCCCAAAGCGCGTTCAACACGGCTGCCTTGTTGGCAGGGAGCCGACGGGGAATTCACAAGGCGGGCCAACCTTTGGCAGGTGCCCCGAGAAAAAGGAAAAACACGTCAGCAGCTATCAAGCCCGAACCTAGGGTTGAAATCCATCCGACCATGATTTCAGTGCGCACAAATGCAGGAGGTGTCTCCAGAACTCTATCACAAATCTCACCTGCTTCTTCACTTTTGGAAACAATGCAAAAAGCAGACGGCAGCAGATGACTAGAAGCTGAAACCAGTGCCACCTGTGTTGAACCGAACTGAGATCACCTCCCAGAGGCGCAGCTGTTGCACCCAGCAAAACGAAGGTGCTTTCGTTCCATTCCCAAAGCAGAACAGTCTGCCAACCTTTCGCGCTCTTCAAATCAAGTGTGGGTTCCAAAAATATGGGCCCCTCTCAGGAGCCGTGGTGACATTTCGTGCCGAAAGCTCGTTTGGAAACTTCACTAGGCCGCTTACAGTAGATGACGAATTCTTCAGGAAAGTGGAGCACAGTTTGTTCCAGGATGGTCTGTTGGGCGCGGGATCACTTGGGCAAAGCACCCTGAGTTGGACACCCGGACCAATTTCGCGCCAGGTTTTTTGGTGGCTTTGCTTGTGGTTCTCTCCAGATTGTGGTGTGTGCGTTAGCTGTTGAAGAGGAGCACCAAACTCGAGCGCTCACTGAGGCACCGGCTTTTTATCATCCGAGGATGTCAGAAGACCTGAGATCTATTGACTCCAAAGCTTTCTCGCTTGGACCCTGCCAGGGTCTACTACTCGTCGCCACAGCTTCGCTGGGATCTACCGCGTACGGTGTTCAGCTTAGTTGAAAGGGAAAGCAAAAGGGAAGCCACAACTTTGAGGCGTACTTTGACACATTCCCAATGTCGAGGGATATCATCCCCATTCTGAACCAGACATCCTTCTTTCCAGAAAGCCATGCAAAAAACAACTAAAACGCCGGTGCTTGAGAAAAAAAACTGTTGAACGAATGCCAAAGACTCGAGAAAATGCCCATCCTCCACCCTTCGGAGAAAGAATGCTTCGGGTCCGGGGCTTCTGTCACTTCGGTCGCCCGGCGTTTCCCATCTTCGCAGATCGTCACGGTGTTGACGGCACCCATGTGCTCATCATACTCCTAGGCTTCCACCGACTCGTCTCAGGGATTCTTTGGAGAAGAAACATCACTTGCGGAAGGGAATTGGGGAACGGAACATGTGCCAAAATAGCGGGCGCCAACACGGGTTGACTTTTCTGTCGGTTTCCCTCAGAGAAAAAACACGAACCCTATGCAACTGGAAAGCAACTCCGCGCCTGCAAACCCCAGCTACAGGAGGCAACGTGGAAGAACGAAGCTCTGCGTAGGTCCACCCGCAACAAAATGCATCCTCTGGGCAAAACGGCCGGCCACCCACCCACAAAAGACAACATGGCAGCATAAATTCAATGCTCCCGTGTGTTTGACCAGCAAACTAGATTCATTAAAGTGACATCTTCACAGTGACCTAAGAGGGTTCCCCAAAGCAAAAAGTCACGTTGACCGCTCAAAATGCCACTACTTTAAGGGACCCAGTCAAAACAACTCCAAAGAGTCTGCAACTTTCGCAACAATTCCGACACCTCCTGCAGGGGCCCAGAATTGCTGTACTCGCGTTTCCCTTTTGTTCAGTGAGCCCGCCATTAAAAGAACAAGCAGAACATGTGGCTTTCCCGACCACTTTGCTTGTCCTGGGTGATGGTGCAAGTGTTGGAGTCCCACTGCACCGCCTGCGCTAAAGAATCAACTTGCAAGCCAAAGCGGGCGTTCTGAAACAAGGCCAGACCAGCGATGTGCAAAATGAAAGTCAGTGTTTCCATGACTCCCTGCAACATGTCGAAAAAGTTACCTACCCCCTGCATAAAGTGAACTTGTTGCTGGCTGAAATGGGCAAAAAGCTTCAAACGGAAAGCCGAGAATGAAAAGAGGGACGCTCCGGGTTGGCTTGCAGAGATTCGCAGGTTTGCCTGCAATCCCCCACTTCCTGAGTGGATTGGCCGAAACAAGTGTCAACTGAGTCACAACTTGCGTCTCTGTTTTTGAGGGCACCATGCTTCGGCATTTTTTGAAGGGAGAGCAAACAGCAACCCACACCTTTTGGCGGCTCCCCACAAAAAGAAAAGAAGATAAAACACGAGAAGGGCGAATGGCGCGGCTTCATCTCGACTGCCTGGCCTTCTTGTTGGAGCAACCCGTCACGATGACATTCTGCTGAGACTCATCAGGATGCACCGACACCTCGGAGAAACCCCCCCCTTGACTTCATGGACCTCTGGCGCGAACTGGGGAAGTAGGGCTATCACCTATCGAACCCTTATGGGTGTGGCTCAAAATCACTGAGCTAGGGTTACGCAGGTTTTCGCCTTTTCCATTTACCAAGGGTGCCATGTTGATACATGTTTTCGAGCCACTGCCTTCTCAACCTGCAGGCTTCTCAGCGTATAGGCATACCCCACAGCCTCCCAGGTCCCAGGCCCCCGGGGGGGGCATCAAGACGCATCCGACGGATGGGACTGGTTTGATCCGACCCATCCTTCGGGGGATTGAATCGAGGGCTCCCAGAATGTCCAAGGGAAGCCAGCAAACGACGGGGGATGTTGAGGGTTTAAGTATAAGGAGATGGGAGATACAAAGGAGCCCCATCCAGTCATATCAGTCATTTTGCAGGGCTCCCGATTTGTTCCCCTTCACCACCCCATCAAGAGGAAGCTTGCCGAAAAGTTGGCACAAAACTGCCGGGAGTCTCCATGACCCTGTAAGCATGGATTTCCAATATAGACTCCACGCGGCTTAAACGTGAAGTATAGCTTGACCCGTGTACAACACCGTGGAAATGTGCCTCCACCGAAGTCGGCACAAAAATGGGGGGAGACGAATCTGAAGACCAGTGATGGTTACACGTTACCTTTCCACACACCAAGTCAGCACAATGCTGTGCGGCCATTGCTTCACGCAAACCACCCACCACCCCCGTTGTTCGAGCAAACTTCGCAATACTTGCCGTGGATGCACAAAATCCTGCCGCAAATGGGATGGAACGAGACAACTGGCGCGAAATGGCTTATTCTGTCCATCCACAGAAGGGCCTCTGGGGAATCGGATTGCTGTCGCCCTCAGCCCCAAGGCACCGGCGCAAAAGGGTGTCTTCTTGTTCGTGAAGGTGGCAATAATTTTGCCTGTCTCGGTATCCCAGTACCTCACACGGATTGTTGAGGCAACCAAGTCAATCTGTCCAACGGGCTTCCCAAAAACCACCCGCATTCCGACGGGATCTGGCAAAGGTGACTTCTTGGCCCTTCCCCGCCCGTGAAGGGCACCAAAAGGGAAAGCCACCATTGGGTGGGTCCAGATCCCTACTTCGACGTGCCACATCATCCTCAAAGGGACAACGGAGAAATGCGCTGCTGCTAGAGCCAGCTGTGCTCGCCACTTGATTTACATGTGGTTCCCTTCCAGCGACAGGAAAAGGGAAAGGCCCGATGATAGAAAACCACCCAAATGCCTCCAAAAGAGGTCCAAAGCACAGGCAGGTTCAACTTTGGAGATCCGAACAAGCGGGGCATTGAGGCGTCCCTGCACAAAGCGTGGCCAAACTCCAAACTTGTTTTTGAGAACCACATTCTGGAAACCTGAACTTGCTGGCCAGGGCACAAGCGAATCATATCATGACATAATGTCCTGATGCAGCTTGTGCCAAACAGGTCATCCTTCAAACCCCGAACAACTCCCCGAGAACTGGCAAGACGCCACATTTAGGTTTACTACAATTCCAAAAAACCTGAACTAAGAATTGGATTTCAAACCCCGAACAACTCCCCGAGAACTGGCAAAGGATGTTTTACCCTGAGCCAACAAGCGGCAACCAACTTCCGGGCGCTGGATGTTCTTGTCGTAGGACACGCTATAGAAGCGGCGCCCATCCTCGGATCGAGCGATCCGAAGCCGCGAAGCCGATGAAGCCATGGATGTTTTTTCCTTTTGGATGTCCTTTAAAACCACAAAGGGGCAAGCTTCAAGAAAAGGGACCGCCAGCTTCAAAAGCACCAGAAGAGATGGCTTTTCCGTGTGGTTGTCCTTTAAGCCACAAAGGGGCACTAAGTCCAAAAAAAGGAACCCATCTGGGAAAGCCCATGGAACAAAATGGGTACACACGTACCAACGTGCCGATGGATTTTGTCAACCAGCCCCAAGGAAGCTTCTTCGGGGGGGTTCTGGACTTTCGGGTAGAAACGCAAACTGCATGCTGCGGAATGCAGCAGAACCTCCTCTAAAAATCTGGCTGAAATATCAAAATTTACATGGACCTTTTTAATGGATGCGAGGGGACAAGCGCTGCCTGTCAAAGAGTTCTCAGCTCCCAAAACTTGAGATCGACTGCCTTGTTGCGTTGGCTTGAACTTGCTACGTTGTTGAAACCGTCTGAAAAAAAAAGTCTAAGCTATAGACTATAGTCCGAAGCAGTGGTTGTGACAAGTCTTTGGATTCAAGCCTTGGCATTGGACAAGGCGCGAGATGTCGGCAAAAGTCCCAAACTTGGCTCCTACGCCCTCCTGGCTTGGAACTCCCGAAGCTTCGCATAGTCCTCTGATGGAACCAGTGACAACGAAAACTCACCGAAAAGGACAAGTGCCTTAAGAAGCTTTTTTGGGGTGCTTGTAGACTCCCAACAAATGTCAGACCTTCATGGGTAGTGGTTCGTTGATATGCTAGAACTTGAACTTTGGGACACGGCAACCAAATCCTCAAAGCTCTTTATTTAAAAACAAACAAAAAGAGTGTGCCTGGTATCCGCCAAAGCCCAACATATCCGGTGAGCCCAGTCCGCGTTTGTTCTCGCCCAAGGCACGGCAGTGAAGGCAATGTCGCGGACAGACTGATCGTGGCCAAAGTAGGTCCGAAGACACCTGAGTCATCAAAACCTGTTCCCAACATGGACCCAAAACCACGTAAAGAGTTGCCAAGGCGGCCAAGGCACCCATTTCTAACCTTCCCTCCAACTACCCGGGTTTTGATTGTGGCTCTGGGAAAGGCAAAGGTGTGGCCCGCGGAAAGCCATTCTGGAAACATGCATGTACCGGAGGCACTCGCTGGGTTTCCTCACGTCAGTTGATACAACACCCGCGCATTCCAAAAAACTGTTGCAGGTCCAAACACGTCGGAAATGGTTCAGGACCCCTGAACAACAGCTTGTCCGGCTGCTGGGAAGCCCGTGTGCCACTTCCCCCCTTTAACATGGCCCATTCTCTTGCCATGCCTCCGCGTTTTCGGGGACGTGGGAAGAAGAATCAGAAGAAATGGGGGTTCACGCTTTCTTCGGCCGGCCCGGAATCGTTCAAGAATGACATCTCCGACAATGGAATTGAATTGAAACTTCAATCCAAATCATTTGTCGGATTTGCGCAGGTGCTGAATTGCTTTTGTTTTGGACGAAACAAAATATCGGTTTAGCATTGATTTAGTATCGGCAAATCCAATTATATATTGTGAGAGTTGGGATCTAGGAAAAAAGACAATTATTGACCGGGCGCTTGTATTCCCGGGGGGAAGAGATTAGCTGCGTCGCTTCAAGCTGCCGTCTTGTGAGTCTGCTCGACGTCAAAGAATCCAAATTGCGCTTCACACCAGCGGTGCCAGGCGTTTGGCCCAGCACGGCAGCTGCTGCTCGTACCGCTGTGTCCAGGAGCGGCTTGAGGAGCTAGTTACCCCTTCCGCCTTTCAGCCTTTGCAGATTGGAAACGCACTGGCTCTGGTCCCAAACCCTGTCCTGAGCGCCAGCGTATGTGACGCGCAAGGCGCGTGGGGACACTCTTTCAGAGAGCTGCCTCATTTCAGAGGCAAGCTCATCTGCGATGTCTCTCAAGCTCTCTTCATGAGAACGGTCAGGTGGCGCAATGAAAGCCCCACACTTGAGGAAGTCTGCGAGAAGACATGACCCTTGCGCACACCCTGCTCGCCGACAAAGATGCAAAGCATGGTGTGACCTTCGCCCTTTTGTAAGCCGGGCGCCGACTTTCCGGAGCTTGTTCGAGCCCTGCCTGTCTTGCGTTTATTCTGCGGCCCGCTTTGCCTCTGCTGGCTACCCTCTGGCCAAAGCTCAATACTATGCAGTCTACATGTTAAATTAGGCCTTTAAGCGAGCAGCATCTTGCTGGGCGGCATCTTTTGTGTGTTTTTGGAGCTTGCGGCTGGCTGCCTCGACAAATACGGAGACAAAATGGACATGTCCCGTCACAGCGAACCAAATATGCAATGGCTGCTTCATGTGTGCTGCGCGTGCGCGCAACTCGAGGGCCCGGTTCTCCAGACCTGATTCGCGACTGATCGCGGCCGACTGAATTGTTCCCTGCCATCAGCACCTCAGCCCTGCCCCTCAAGTGAAGGTTGAAGCCGATGGCTTGCCGGATAAGAGCCAAAATAGCCAAGGCCTCCTTGAACGACCATAAGAACCCATCCTTCAACATTGAACTTGTGGAGGCAGGGGGCCTGGAGACTTGCAGCAAGTTGTTCCCCCCCCGCCGCCCCCCCCGTCGGCGATGCCTTCAGTGTTGGGACAGAGCGCTGTGGAGTGGTGCCTTTTTTTGCCAGCTCCCCTTACCAGTTCAGTCTTTTAGTTTAGCCAAGCAAATGTCTTAGTTGGAGATTGTTTGAAGTAAGGTAGTTTGTGCTTCTTCCGAGAGAAGGCCTTTTTTTTAATTCCGCATTGCGGTGGTGGCCGTTGTTGGGGGGCTGTCGATCAAACATTGAAGCAACATTGAGGAAGCCTGATGCAAAACCACAAACTTTCTTTAAGACAATATCGCTTCAACAGGAAAACCAGCTCCCTTCACATCTAGGGAAAACGCCCTTTAACGCTCCTCCCTTCTCCTCCTTGCGCAGTTGGCTTCCCTTTCGCCCGGTCCCCTTGCACTCCTTTTGGCCCCGCGCTTGCGCTGGTTGTGGTAGTCCCAGATCATGATCTTGCCATCCATGCCCGCCGAGAGCAGCAGGTGGGCAGTCTTCGGAAACCTGCGCAAACTCGGTGGCTTTCTGCTCCCCTGCTAAAAGTGATTAACTTTTAGTGGGGAAAAGGAAAACCCTTTAGTTGGCAAAAAGTTAAAGTCTTAATATGTAAGCAAAATGCACCTAAGGTTTCGTCCCAAGGAGATGGTCCCGTCGGATCGCGGCCACATGGCGGGGGTGTCACTTTTGAGGGAACTTGGGGGGTTGGGGGTTGGTCGAAGAGGGGGAACCACTATTTTGGGGTCCCCTACTTCCTGAGTGGATTGGCCGAAACAAGCCCCACCAGAGAAAACTCTCCGAACAAATTGGAAACCAAAACGCCAGGGAAACGTAGGACCCGATATCAATCCAAGGGGAATTGGTCCCAAACGAGTCCCCATTCAAACGTAGAGGAGACTCCCTTTGGATCAGCAACCAAAAGGCCTCAAGCAGGCGCCGGCCTTCTGAATGGCCCTGGAGTTAAAAATGCATAAACAATAGCTACGTGGTCACGTCCGTCGGAAAATGACCAGACGCCAAAAGGGCATCAAAAGGGCTCGGCAACTTGAAGTCGGCACAAACTGTGACCCACTCTTGCTACCCCACCACTGCATCTGTACTTGCAGGCATTTGGAGGTATGCGGGGGGGATGTCCTTTGGCAACAAAGCGGAAATCCCCTTTAAGACCTGTTGCTCCTTGAAACCGGTGCTTGATTGTGGGGTTTCGGGTTTAAACACAAATCTAATCTCAAATTCAATAGTAGCGATCTCGGCGTGCTTTTTGTATAGTTAAACCTTCGGTTCGCAAACCTTTGAGCCTCTTAAATTGTCGTGTACAACGTAATATGCGACGTTGTGCAAAGATCAGCTTGTAAGATATCATCATGTTGACCTTAGCTGGTGCTGGTTCTTATCCGCCCAACTAATCTAAGTAGAATGTACATTTGGCGAGAAGTTCAGTGTGAATTAAGTGATGTGTGTCTGTGTGTGTGAGAGAGCATTTTCCTGACAAGACATGAGTGCTAATTGCCGGCATGGCCTGCATCATTCGTGATGGGCAAGTAGTTTCAGCTAAAACAAAGTGCAAGGAAGTTGTAAGTGGAAGCAAATGCTGGTATGTTGGTTGTGTAGAAAGTAGTGTGATGAGTGAAATGTACGTGCAACCTCGTTAAGTGGTAAGTGATGCGGGCACATGCGATTGCAAAGTAAGTTGGAACGTAAGTTGCGTGTGTGCCTGTGTGTGTGTGTGATCAGAAGTTAGAAGTTAGAAGCATGTGTAGCATGTGGAAAGTTAGTAGTTTGGGTGCAATGCAATTGTAAGGAAGATGTGCCTGGTTGAAATTAGCTTCGTAGGCAGTGAGTTGTATGATGTGGGCATTTGGGCACATATGTGGGCAATTCATTCCAGCTCAAGCCTCGACTCAATCGTAGCTTATCAGCCATTTCTGTGCCCTTCAACCACAACGAGGCCCGAAAACCTCGATCTCGGGTCCATAGAGTTCGGCCTATCGAGGTTTGCTGATCGAACAAAAGAGCCTTTTCAGATGTCCGAAACGTCTTAAGACCTTTGGGTACATGAGTCTTAAGACCCTTTCGGGCGGTTGAAAGGTCTCGTTCAAGCCAATGACTTCTCGGCTGCGAAGCCCGATTCGATGACTTCCTGTGTTGGGGCTGCATATCACTTTGGTACCCGAATCGATCTCCTGATTGTTCTCCAATGGCCATGAGAATCTCAGGGCGCCCTTTCGGTTGGTAGATGATTTTAAGGGAATCTCCACAAATGGTAAAACGGGGGTGCCTCTCCAAAACAATGCCCACACAGGAGATGTCAGCAAAGGGCAAGCAGCTGTATGCCTTGGCATCCTACGTACTGATAAATTGAATCAGGTGGAAAATGGGGGGGATTGCCTTGCTGTTGGAATCAATTCTTACGCCCAATAAACGTGCATTTCCACTGGAGGTCCAATGCCGACCAACTGGGCGCTCCGTTTTCTCAGGCTCACCCTTAACGGTTTGCAATGCAAGCCATGGCTTCTTGAGGCTTGGTACCTTTGGGCCAGAGACTTTCCCGAGTTCGAAGCTGGTGCCCCCGGCCACTTGATCTTCGACACCCCCATGGTGTGCCCTGTCCTGGGAGCCGGGCAAGCCGATCCCGGAAACCAACGGAGGGGGGCCGTTGTTGGAGCCGCCGAACTCTCAACGAGTTTCGATCCCGTGAGCAAAATCAAAACTAGGAGATGTCGGGAATGCCAAAGTCCAATGAGATGTCGGGACCTCCAAGGCATCCAGTCTCATAGTGCTTCTACCCCCACACAAAGAAGCAAAGGGCAGTTGAAAAGGCGCCAAGAAAGAGTGGCGGTGCGCTTTGGCCGATCGGTTGCAGCCCCCGTGTTGCAAGAAAAGGAAGGCCCGGTCTCTCTAGCAAGAGTTTGGGTCCCATCTTTTTCTACTTCTGCGTTGTCACCTGCTTCCGCTCAGCCGGAAAGGGGTCCCATGCCAAGGAAACCGCAGAGCTCAGGGTTTCCACGTGAGAATTGTTGGACATCCGCCTGGGCTGCCGTGCCAAGTGTGGACCCACTTCTTTGGCAGAAAGCACCTGGCGGCAGGGCTCCGAGCTCAAAAGGGGAGTTCAGAGTTCAAGCCGGCTGCGACTGATGTGCCAATTCTTCCATGGGATCAAAAAAGATCACAACAATTCGCAGAGGACAACAGTCAATCGGACAAGAACTTCACAAAGGGTTTTGGGCCACAGCAAGGCGGCCGTCTCCGACCGCAAGGTTGCAGAGCCAAAGGCACCGAACTGACAGTAAAATCGGTTGGAACCTCAGCAGGGATTGAGGCGAATGACCCCGTTCGGAACCATCCACCAAGATCAGGCCCGAGGTTCGACCCCAACTCTTTGATTCCCCTACTGACCCGCAAGTTCTTGGCTTTCCTTCTTGAATTCGCATTTTCTGGCGGGTGCTCCATGAATGGAGACAGGGAAGTTGTCCCCTCCCTAAACAAACAGTAGATACCTGTATTTGTTTGCCAGTTGCCACCCTGCCCGAACTCCGTACACTCGAAATCCCTGGGTGCCCTGGCTGCTTGTCGTCCACGTCTTTGGTGATGTGGGTCTGACAATCGCAAGTCGGTCCAACTGACACAGGGGGTCACGTGAGTGGGAGGAAAGGTCCACTCACAGAGATCAAATTGGGCAACTAGGGGCCCTTTTTCCTTGGTCGGCACGTATCGGCAGTACCAGGGTCTAAAAAGGGATCTGGTTGGCAACCCCCGTTTGTGGGATGGACGATGTTAGAAAGTGGATCAAATGGGTGTCTCGTTTTGAGGGTACCCCAATTTTGGTGGTGAACCAAAGAGAAAACCAAAAGGAAAGCTGCTGCTGAATCAAGGTGATCCGGCCCCTCCGGCCTTAAACGAGGGTTCTTGGCCCCCCAGCCGCAGGGTTGCCTTTTGAACCCGCACAGAGTTCAGATTGAGGGACCACTTTCCCCAGCCAAGTGAAAAACATCTCGCCTACCTCTGGACCATTTGCCCCCCGTTGGAAATCAAGTTGGACATGACTTTGAGGTGTAGAAGCCCTCTTATAGGGCAGTTGCCTTTTGCCCGAAAACCATCCAAACTCTTTACCTGCCAATAAAATGGTCTTCCCAAAAAGCACACGAAGCCCAGAATCGCAGGGAGCGAGTTGATCCTGTGGTTGCTAGGCTATACCGGGTCCCTACAGACCGCCTGGTAGCTCCTTGGCTCCCGCTTTAAAGGCACATTTGGATACATGTTCCCTAACGACTCCCTTCCAAGCACCAGCTAGGGCCCAAATAAAAGCCCTGAAGTGCCACAAAGCCCGTGAGGCCTTCAGCGCATATCGCTGTTGAGGTCTTTCACCAGAGTCCCTGTGGGCTTGACCCAGGACCTTGTTGCAAGCATCCCTAGGGTGGATACAGCTGACGACGGAGAATCTCCTCCTTCAGGATGGCTTTCAGTGAAACCAGAAGGCCGACAACCTGGATAAATCCACATCGTTTAGATACACCTTCCGCCATGGCCCAATTTCTGTAGGCGGTCATGGCTGCCTGGTTAAGAGAGCGCTTATCCGTGCACATGTGCTACCAAGGGGTTGATGACCTTTCCTGCCAACCCCAAGGCGTGGCTGTGGCTAATTTGGCAAGCGCATTCTGTGCAGCCAACCCGCCCCAGGCCTTGTTGTCGATCCATGAGCGGCCGGCATAGTCGGTTTCCTCGGGCTTAGCAGACACACACACACACACACCCCTCTTTCCACCGCAATTGCGACGCCTGACGCCTGAACAATCAGAGCGGGTTTGAGGGGTACTGCAAAACCAAGCTAAGTCGCGATCATAGGGCAAACATGTGCGCCCTTTATATTGCCCGCAACATGGCAAAATCGGCAAGATATGCTTTTTTGTGTGGGGAAATGAGTGAGTCCCCAGTCCGAAAATGTTGAATGAACCGTCTGATAGAAGTCTTGACCGAACCTTACACTGGAAGCCGACAATATTGCCACCAGAAACTGATAGGGGCCTCCTTGCCCCAAACCAATACCCACCAACCTAAAAACAGATTGGGGGCCCAACCGATACCCACATGGAGGCAGTTCGGCTTCTCGATCCACAAGTTCTGGTAGCTTCCTGGGGTCAACTTTTTGCATGGGCCATTTGCGGGGCCCGTCTCGCATCGGCCCCATCCCTTTTTGGCGTATTGTTTGCGTAACCCCTTCTGGATAAGCCGAAGCCTACGTCCGATTCCCATACCGCGCCTTTTTTGAGCCGCCCGTTCTTTGAATTCACTTTCGGCTCCGTAGCCTTCCCAGGGATCCAAGACTAAAAGGTTGGATTAGCGGGGGCGTGGGCTGAACTTCTGTAACCCAAAAGGTGACCCAAATGATCGAAGGGCAGCAAACCCCTTTCAAAACTTCCCTAGGTCCCCCAGTACAGAGGTTAGAATAAGGGCCCCTGCTTTTGGTAGTCTATTTTGGCAGGGGAGCCCTCCCCCAAAAAAGGAGCAAAAGGGCACTGCTGGGGGACCTAGTTCCTTTTCAAGTGCTCCAGCTTGCAACACTGGCCGGAACCAGGATTCCCAAACCGAAAAAGCGAGGAATGAACTCCCCAGCGCTGGTGCTGACCCCTGCCGTGCAGGTTTGGCTTGGGGCCCCGGCCTTGCCGCCGTGGAAGATTGAGGTCACGCGCTCCTTTGTCTCGCGCTCCTCACCTGGCCGTTGGGACCTATGTCGCATGGGCAAAAGGACCACCCGGTTGGCTCTCAAAGGCAGACCAAAAGAAACCAGAGGCGAGTCTTCTTGAGAATCACCCTGATGCGGAGCCAGGGTTGATAAACCCCTGGTTGATGAAAAGAGGGCTGTCCGATTAAAGTTGGAATGTTCCACTTTGACCAAAAGAACACCCCTATTACTCCATCAAGGCTTATTGATCTGCGGTGGGGTTATACTGGACAGGTTCTCAAAAAAGTCCCACGAGATGAAACGATGGGCTCGGGCTTCGCTTGATCCTCGTTTCCAAACCGGTCAATCTTTGGTGGCCCCCACCCCCCTCCCCAAAAGCCTGGCAAGACAACTACGCAGAAACACCAAGCGTGGTAGCTTGGCCTCAGGAAAAAGTGGCTGCCATTTGCAGAGCGATATGTGCAGCCAGAAGTAAGTGACTTCCCACACCATAAAAAAAGGTGGTGTTTCGCAGCATCGAAAATGAACACAATCAGCAAGAAAACTACATCAGTTGTTGCCCCCCGAACAAAATATGTTTGGTTCTCGTCCACATATGCAGCGAACCATAAAGTGTAATGTGAAAGAGGTCCCAGCAAACAAATATACCAAGAACGGTAAAGGTAATACAGAGCAGCGTGTGATCAGCCAGTGGTTGGCGAGCAAGCTGGGATGAAATGAGTCGGGTTGAGCGTCAGAGAGTGCCCAAATCCCCAGCCGAAGAGAGAGAGAGAGAGAGAGAGAGAGAAAAAAAAAATAAGAAAAAATAAGAAACAGGCAAAAGAAAAGAAAAGCAAAGAAAAGACAACAAGAAGAGGAGAGAGAGGGAGAGAGAGAGAGAGAGAGAGAGAGAGAAAGGGAGAGAGAGAAAGGGGGAGAGAGAGAGAGAGAAAGGGGGATAGAGAGAGAGAGAGAGGGCAAGAGAGAAGGAAGAAAGAAAGAAAGAAAGAAAGAAAGAAAGAAAGAAAGAAAGAACGGAAACACCTACTGTCCTGCACTCTTAAAAAAACGGCCATCATCATTTTTGGAGGATTTTCCTTTCTGGATACCCCCTTTTTGTTGAAGTCTGGTCAGCCTGAGCCATTGTGCTTTAGGTCCTAATCAAAGTGGTGGCATCCAATCGACCCAAGGTCGCCTTTCAAACACCATCCGAAGTCTTGGTAGGAGACACGAAACAAAGGGACGGCGACTAACTTAGTTGTATCATACATAGGTGTGTGCGTGTGTGTATGCATGTATTTATGCGTGCATAACTATGTTCACACACCTTGCGCATACATGATTGTTGTTGTTTGACAAACATACATGTTTACACGTATACCGTATACGTATGCAACGCGAGGATAAAGCTGGGGATTAGGCATTAGGCGGGAGAAAATCAAATATGGGAACCGCAAGGGTGTCGGCCTTAGAAGACAATGTTCGACAACTGCTCGTTGGGGAACATGGTCGGAGTTCCACCCCCCAATCGGCAAGAGGGACCTGAAAAGGACTGTTTCTTGACAGTTAGACACTACCCCAGAAAGAACCCAAAAGAACAACAACAAAAAACACCTCGCTGGGTGGAACATTGCCCGTTCCAGCGCTGGAAACGGAATCCGCTTCTGCCCTTTCCAAAGACGAATTCCCCGCGTCTCACAGGCCGTCCCCAACTAACCTCCAGAAACCTAGCATTGGCGAATCCTTCAAATGGGATTTGGAATCGAAGAACTTCGACTTGGACCTTCAATTGTAGGGGGCCCCTACGGATAGGATCTGGTCCATTTGAATTGGTGTTCCGCCCCTTGCAAGATGGCATGAAAGTTGCCTAGACCTCAACCCGGATATTCCAGGTCCCCTGGTAAACTTCAGGATCCTTCATCTACCGCGTGGACTGGAACAAAAACAAACTTTTTGGGTCGCCAACATTGCGGACAAGAAACCAGCATCCGAGCAAGTTCAAAGCTCTATACTGTCACGGGACAAAGCGAAGAAGCATGGCAATGGCAAAAGTTGGTCAAACATGGCAACAGACAAACCGCAGAAACCACAGACGATAGATGTGTTGAAGCTTGTCAAAATGACAAAAAGGTTCGTCAGCTCCATAGCAAAACGAATGCAACGGGCGGTTCCAACCGCCGCCTTCCACCGCCTTCTCCTCCTCCGCCTTTCTGGCCACCTCCTCCTCTCGGGCCTCGAGCGACGCGGCGCGAGAAGCCGCGAGTCGAGGGGATTTTTGGGGGAGATGAGGGGTGCTTCCAGGGCCTCGAAGTCCAAGGGACAGGGAAAAGCAAAGGAAGCCTAGGGCTCGGGTCTCAAAATGTATGGAGTTGGAGAGCTGTGCAGGCAAAAGCTGGGAGAAGTTCCATCACCGGGGGAGGAAAAAAAACAAACAAGTCGAACCAAATTAAGTAGGGGTGTAGGCAACGTGACTGGGCCAGACAACAAGAAACGTGAAACCTGTCAGTTGGACAATCAGCCGGGCTAGTTTCTAACACTGAGGGTTGGGGCCACAACATGTGCAAAATCGAGCCTGGTGGGTTCAGCAAAAAAAAAAATCCTTGCGCCCGCTTTTAAGTGTTCAAGGCGCGCCAAATCGCCAAAGGCATTCACTCTCACCGCCGGCTCAGAAGCAAACTCTGACTATACAGCTGATGATTCTAGCCACAGTATGTAAGAAAAGTGGCTGCCGCATGGATTCCGTACGTGCTTGCACATGACATCCCGACATCAAGCATGTAAAGCTCATGAGTGTGTTCTGTCTGTATGCTTGTCCCCTTGGAAACTGTCATGTTGCGAAAGGCTGGAACCAAGGAGTAGCCAATGGTGCGTGTGTGTGACATGGTCCATAGGCATCTGAGCCCCTTGTGCAGTCCCCCCACAAGTCCATTCATCCGGGCTCGATTGGCAAAAGGCCCGTTTCAAGGAGCGTGCATTGGGTCATTGACCGCCACATTCACGAACCAACTCGCCAAGTTGCCAAAGGTCATGGTGCCCGGTCATTGCTGCCCTAGGTTGAAGGGAACCCCGAAAAGGAAACTTCCCCAAAGGGAAATCCCCGACGGAACGGAACCCTTCCTTTTAACTGGATACTAGGCACCAAGGATGCGAACGGCACAAATCCGGGGCCGGATTCAGGATCACTGTACCTGCCCCTCAAATGTCACCCACCTCAAGGAAGGTCGCTGTTAGCTGGCCCTAAGGTGACATTTGAATTCACTTTGCCATATTTTTGGGTGAACCTGAGAATGTAAACATAGTGTCCAAAGATATTCAAAAAATAATCTCAGGTGATGTTGAAACAGGCAGCAAGAGAACTCGGGATTGTTCAATTATTCTTGATTTCGGGGTGCTATTTTCGGAGGGAAACCCTTCGAGATCCGGGGTCAAAATCAACCCGCTCCCTGCCAATGAACATGGAGCCCAAAAAAGAGGGTCCCCGCAAGTCTCAGATCTCCGTTCGGCCTTGACCTCCACCTCCAGCTGCTTCCGCACCACATCCCCGTCGATGAAGCCGCCCCACCTGAAGCTGGCTGCAAGCTGCAGGGTGAGATACTGGGGCTGCTCCAAGGAACTGGTCAGAAGGAACGAAAATGTGGTCGGCAAATCAACGGAAGCCCGCCAAGATAGCCATCCAGGCGTTTACCAAGGTTCTCACCCTATGTTGTTATCTTGAGGTTCCAAGAACCCATGGTTCACTGAAGCGAGCAAAGCTGTCCTAAGAAACACCCAGAACAACAATCTAAACAGATCTAGCCCGAGGATCCGGCCCAAAGACTGGCTATGTGTGGTGAAGCCTAGCTTGGTGGTCGCTTGGTGTCAGAACCCTGGCGGGTGCAGGGCTGGTGGCTGATTCATTGGAAGCCCGGCAGCGACCAAGACCTAGGAGGATCTCTAAACAGGAGACGCCTTGAAGGCTTCCGTTTCCCTCCGCCCAGGAATGACCCAGGACCGCGCTTGTCAATCCTAATCTGTCTAAACGACACACACCCAAATCGCAATTGCATTGAAAACAACTTGGCACACCCCTCCACCCAACTGATCTTTCGCAACAGTCCCGTGAAGAACGAGGGCCTGTTCATGCTTGCGACACCTGTTTTTTGGAACAAACCCATCATCAGGCTGAGAGCTTGATGAAGCAGGGTTTGCACATCCATTGGCTCTCCAAAAGAAAAAAAGCCGGGAATCGGATCCTCGCACGTGCGACCAGATTCTCGGGCTCCTGCTTGGCCGATTCCGCGTTGGCCTGCGCCACCCATCGATGGCTTGGGAGGGCTTCAGATGAATCCGGCAAGGAGGCCCTCAGAATATCCATTCAACCACCCACCGCAAAAAAACCGCAAGATACTCCAACAACGCATATCTTCTTGGGGTGGGGGGTGGGGTTGGGACCATTCCCAAACAAACCCTTCGTTCACAAGGAGTTTTGCAGCTTGGAGATCACATGTGCGCTTCCCAGTATGTCTTCAGGCCTGTCCATAAGCAGCACCAGTTTTTTTGTCCCTGCGTCAGGGGCAAAACAAAACCCTTGGCTCCTTGTGCCCAAAAATAGAAGTAGCAATTGTCCCTGCTGGATCGCCAAAGCTGCCGTGCCCTTCATTCCAGAAACGCCCCTTGCACGTCCTTTAGCACCACCACACCCCGCGTGCGAAATCATTCTGGGCGCCTCGCCTTGCCCTCTTCCTGGGCTACGAGCAAAGGGCGACTTGGGGTGTTCACACCTAGAAGAAGGCATTAAATACCACTTAGGTACCTGGGCTCATTCCTTCGGGGATGCTGGGCTTTTTGTACTGAGATATGCCCTTTTCCCGCTTCCCACATATACCCCATACCACTCAGTAGGTGAGAACCATGGTGGTGAGAACCATGGTTATCAGGGAGCCATGGCTGCCTATAACTCAACCTTTTACTAAGAATTGTGAACATCCCAGAAAACAAAACAAAAAAGAGCAATGAGGATGGTTGGTCCGAATTTGAGCTCCCATTCACTGGGATTTGGCGGACACACCCTGGTTGGAAAATATTTTTGGTTCCCCATCTCTCAGCGGAAGAAACCCGCATGCCTGAAAGGAAGAGGCTTGTGGATGCCTTCAAGGAAACCAAAAGAGAAACCAAGCGATTGAACCCTCAGTTACAACCATTGACCCTCGCAGACAAAGGGAAGCCTTTCCGGGTTGCCCATTTTCAGTCGGCCCCACACAACTGCAGGACAGGGTTCCGTGGGCTCCTAGAAAATCATCAGCTGCTCTAGCCCCCCCCCCTTTGCAGCAAGTTCCCCCACCCTTTATCGTGGCGGTGGCGGAGGAGCTCTGGCAAGCCAAAAATACCCATGGGCATGTGAGTAATCAAAGCCCAACGCTTGAAAGGGCCCAAAAACCATCAAATCAAGAGAGCAGCTGGGACTGTCCCGAGCCCTTTTTGCTGCTTTGGAGGTTTGGGGTGGGAACCCCATTTACCCACAGCAACCAGGGGTTTCAAATTTTAATTCAAGCCACCAACTAGAAGGGTTACCCCGCTCAGGTCAGCGCCATGTCCGGCCCTTCTATCCTCTGCCTGCCGGGCAGCTCCAGACGTCGTTTTGCATGGACGGATTTGCACCCGTTTTGCCATAATCAGGCCAGGCCCTGGTCCCCTTTCATGGGAAACGTGAAGGGAGGTGATTTGAACAAGAGTGGTCCAAGCCATGGTTTAAACAAAGGGTTGAATCAAAGTGACCCTGCGCTTTTGGCCCTACGCTCTCTCTGACAGCCTGCTCACAGCGTAACTGAGGATGCAAATGGTGGTTAATGGTCTTTCTTACAAGTCAAGGGCCTAGCCAATAGAATTGGGCTGTACGTCCCGGTGCTCAGCGACGCTGGAGCGTGAAGAGCCCATTCCATCCGCATTGCGCACCCCGAGCAGTTTTGCCTCCTCATGACTGCGCAACCTGCGGTGGCACCTCCCCGCCTCTCCTGCCGGCAGAGCCAGCGCCATGTTTCTGGCTTCCGCAGTAACGCCCGCCTGGTTGGCTTGAGGGAGAATGCCCCACACGCGCGCAAATGAGACCAGGGTTCTTGTCGCTGGCCCAGGTTGGAAATGGAGAGTGCTCAATGAAGCCACACCCTCCGGCACCAGCAAGCACCCACAGCACATCCCGCGCAAAAAAAGAGCAGGACTCTCCGACCACACCTGGCCCTTGTCGCTGGCGGAGCAAAAGCGCTGTCCATGTTTCTTGGAGACTTTTAGATGCGCTGACAGGCCTCCGTTCCCTCTCCAAGCATGAGCGCATCCCCCCCTGCAGTGACCCGCGTAAAATGGACAAACGCGCAAGAGCGCACCGCCAAGGCGCCAAGCGACAGCTGGTTGAGGGCTGACCTGGGGCTGCAGTTGGGCGAAGTCCTGCCCTGGCGCCGCCGTACTGCGACGGGCCCACTTGGCCTGCAGGGCTTCTGCATCTGGCCCTTTTGGTGGGAGCGCACCCTGGCACTTTAAGGGCTTGCCGGCCCCCCGTGCGTTTGCGGCGGCTCCGTTTAAACGTTTAAGCTGCAGTAACTTGATCCTCCTCCGCCCTCCACCTCTGCGCGAGGGGAAAGCAGCACCGAACCGAGGTCCTCCACAAGTCGGTCGCGCTCCTGGAACTACGGAAAGCGTGGGGCGCACTGCGCCCGCCGCATAGTAGCTGCCAATGCCCTCCACGTTCTGCCAGCGTGGCCTGCTCTTCCTTGGCGAGCACCATACCTGCGCGTTATACAGGTGCCTGCTAAGCACCAGTGCCTGCAGGACGTCCAACTTGCGCCAGCGGACATCCGGCGCTTGTACCAAAATGTTGGCACGCATCTGCGACCACGCACCCTTTTCCAGCCAACCACGCCTGGTCACGCGCAAGCATGGCCCAGTCACTACTTGAGTCGTCTATCTGCTTCAGCTGGATGCAACTCTCATCATTCAGATCAACGAAAGCTGCGTTCGCATTCTGTGTGCTACGACAGGGACATGCAGAGCCGACATAGCCTGATGTCAAAATTGCAGTCTGGGAATATCAAGAAATGTGAGCCGTCGGGAGTGAGATGATGATTTCATAGAAGGAGGAGAGCGCAACCCCGCCAAGGCTTTCTCTGATGTCCCATCGCTGACAGCCGTAGCCTTCATGAACCTTAACTCAGCTTCGATGGTTGTCGCTGTAGGTACTTGAGCAACGGAGGCCTGACCTCTTGCCCTGTCCCTCCTTTCGACTGCAACAATTTCATCCGCGTTTGGGTCTTCCTCCTCTTCTTTGCTGGTCTGGTCTGGCTCTCAAGACCATGCTGTTGGCTTTCTTCCTGCCACCGAGACCGGTCTTCCAGGCTGAAGCTTGCCATGGTGTATGTGTTCTCGAAGTGTTCATGCGAGTCCCACACCCGATGGCGTCGCGGATCAACTTGGCCAGTTTGTCTACGCTCACCTCATCCTGTTGTTGTTTGCCAAGAACCATCTAGCTTCATCCTTCCCAAGGTCCCAACCATCCTCCGTGAGAGGTGAAACTGGACCAGGCCCATCACACCCGTGGACAAGCCCATAACGCAGAAAGCATCATCGATGCTATCTCCGAATTTCCTTGCAGCCAAGTCCAGACTGATAGCCTCTTCAGGCTGATAGCAGTCCAAAATATTCTTGCCGATCCTGACATCTGCTGTCCTTTGCCTGTGAGACCTTTCCTGGGAAACCCAAAGGAGGTGGTTTGAACAAGAGTGATTCAAACAAAGGGTTGAATCGTCCAACCCCGCCAGTCTGAAAATGAGAAAGGAGCACCAAGGACTGAGCGACAAAGTGACCCCTATGCTTTTGGCCCTACCAAGCTGATTATCACGCATTACATATTGGAATTACAATCATCCCCCCTGTTCAGGTAAGGACCCCTGCCAAAACGGCAGGACATGTATTTTCCCAAACAAGGTGTCTAAAGGGCACCCATTTTTTCAAAAAGAGACTTGTAAAAATTGGCTGCTGCAAAGCGGAAACCAAAGGACACCGTCGGCCAATCTTCTACCCAAAGGTGGGTTGGTCGACGTTCGGCTCGGAGAACAAGCCTGAACAGCGGGGGAACTCTCCACCATGATCAACTGGACCTTGCTCTTCCCAAAAAACTGGGCGGTGAGGAGGCTTTCTGACACCAACCTGTTTTTACCCTGACAAACCTGGGCTGTCCTCAGATCCCCCCGCTAAAATTGTAACTTTTAGTGGGTTAAATGGAAATCCCCACTAAACACTAAAAAGCTAAAAGGCTAAGGGGATGGCTGGGAGAGCCACTAAGAAACTGACTCCCCCGATCCGCGCAATCCACGCGGCCCCGCCTTTTGCCTCTCCGCGGCTTGTCCCAGATCCCCCGCCCCGGCTGGTGGTCAGCTTCGCCGCTGACCTCGCTTGCCACGCACAGGGCTTGAGACTGGGCCAGACATGGGCGTGTCTTCTTGGCGGCGTCTGCTTGGGGTACGTATCTTCAGAGCACCCCACATAGGTAACCGAGAAGATTCAACTCGTTCTAAAGGGACTCGTTCCCTAAAATTTGTGGTTACTCTCCAGGGACAAGGGTAAAAAAACGGGCATTGCCCCCGGGCTTTGGCTAAGGAGAGTCTCCCCTCTCGTCCTGAACCCTAAATAAACAAAGAAATCGAGATACGTTGTAAAATCAGGCAACCCTCAAAATGGATGGTGTTCCTCTCAGCTTCGCCTGAGACTAACCCGGTACAGATCAGGAAAAGCCGTTGGGTGCCCGGCCAAAACCTCCTGACCCTCGGGGATCTGTCTGCACGGGTTGGCGGCGTAGCCAAAGTTGTGGAAGGTGAGATACCTCGGATCCAAGAAACGTCTGTGGCTCAAAACATGTACCCAAAAATGGCCCCTAGGTAAGTGGAGGTAAATGGAAACAAAGACCAACACCTGCGTAACCCTGGCTCTTAAATTTTGAGCCACACCCAAACCGCCTCCAGGAAATTCTCCAGGCTAGCCCGAACTCCGGGAGAACTTGTTGCAGGTTGCGGAGGGATCGGAAGGCTATCGGATTCACTGCCAGCCATTCCCCAACTTGGCGCTTCACCCCAAACAATGATATCCCACCGCTCAACTTGAGGAGAGTTGGGGGTCTCCTAATGTCTACTGAGCCTCCAGCTGCTCATCGAACGCGAATTTGCCTCACATGGCGCTGCATCGGCGCAAGTGCCACAGGCAAGGGTCAGTAACTAGACCTGGTGAGTGGTAATCCAGACGACCATGTCAGTCAAAGAACATGTCTACAGGAACTTCTACAGGAAAGTAGATTTGCAAAAAAAATGGGTTCACCCAAGCTTAGACTTGGCTTATCCAAGGCTTATCCAAGCTTAGAAATTATCTAAATCGGGGTCTCAGAAGGGCTTGTCCAGGAACTGGGGATCTCGCCGTACCTGTGGGCAAAGCTCCATTATTTTAGCTTAAAAATGGCGTAAATTAGGCTTATGTCGGCTTAAAATGCTTAAGTGCCCCTTTAAACATGCTTGAATCCCCCGATAAACCTAGTTTCGCGGTCAGGAGGATCCCTCCACGTTACCAAGAAAAGAGCACCGACTATGGACATGTAGCTGAAAAAATGCGAGTGCCACAATGTGATCCAAATCCCCCTAGCATGGGACCTACGAGGCCTTTGAATTTTGGATCGACCTATTCCTACTGCATCTCCGACGTTGCATTTGAGTTTGTCTCCGGTTGGCTTCCCTTTGGTTTCCCTAAGCAAACCCCCAAAAAAGGGTACCCTCGAAAACAGCCGGCCCCCGCCCCTCTTGTAAGGATGGGCATCCCCCCCCCCCCCAAGACCAGCACAACCAAAGAAGACTTGTGAGCACCAGCAAAAAGATCAACGAGGAGTCTCGTTGTGCAACATCAGACCTTAGGCCAAAAAAACATATCCAAGGCTGCCATCTGCCTCTGTCTCAAGACGTGTCGCCCCCTTCCTCTAGCAACAATGCTGCCTCGATGTCCCACGCAAATGCAAATGTTAACGCCTCCGGCTCAGGCCGCCGACATTACAGGCCTGCTTTCTTATTTGCGTCCCTTTGGAATTGTCCCCTTGCCCCCTTCCCCTCTGATATTTTTGCCCCCCTTTCTTTGTTGAGATCCATTCCCCCTTTCCGCCCTAAGGCCTTTTCTCCCTCTGATTTTTCCCTTTTCCTCCCTAAGATGTTTTTCCCCCTCTCCCTGTTGAGATCCTTTCCCCCCCCCTAAGGCCTTTTCCCCCCTGAGATCTTCTCTCCCTTTCCCCCACTTTCCCCCCTACGGCCTTTTCCTCCCTGGGATCTTTTTCCTTTCCTCCCTGAGATCTTTCCGCCCCTTTCCCTGTTGAGATCCTTTCCCCCCTTTCCCCCCTACGGCCTTTCCCCCCGCTGAGATCTTCTCCATATTCCTCCTTAATATCCTTTTCCTTCCTAAGATTGCTTCCCCCCTTTCCCTGTTGAGATCCTTCCCACCCTTTCCCCCCTCAGGCCTTTCCCCCCCTGAGAGCTTCTCCCTTTTCCTTCCTTTGATCTTTCCCCCGTTTCCCTGTTGGCCTTTTTTCCCCCAGATCTTCTCCCTTTCCTCCCTAAGATCTTTTCCACTTTCCCTGTTGAGATCATTTCTCCCCTTTCCCCCCTAAGGCCCTTTCTCCCTCTGAGTTTTTCCCTTTTCCTCCCTACGATGTATTCCCCCCTCTCCCTGTTGAGATCCTTCCCTCCTTTCCCCCCTAAGGCCTTTTTTCCCCCCGCGATCTTCCCCCTTTTCCTTCCTAAGATCTTTTCCCCCCTTTCCTTGTTGAGATCCTTTCCCGCCCTTTCCCCCCTAAGGCGTTTTCCCCCCCAAGATCTTCTCCCTTTTCCTCCCTAAGATCCTTTGCCCCCTTTCCCTGTTGAGGTCCTTTCCCCTCTTTCCCCCTAAGGCCTTTCCCCCCCTGAGATCTTCTCCCTTGTCCTCCCCAAGATCTTTTCCCTTGGTTGAGATCCTTTCCCCCTTTCCCCCCCAAGATCTTCTCCCTTTTCCTCCCTAGGATCCTCTCCCACCTTTCCCTGTTGAGCTCCTTTCCCCCTTTTCCCCCTAAGGCCTTTTCAGATCTTCTCCCTTTTCCTCCCGAAGATCCTTTGCCCCCTTTCCCTGTTGAGATCCTTTCCCCCTTTCCCCCCTAAGGCCTTTTCCCTGCCTGGGATCTTCTCCCTTTCCTCACTGAGATCTTTCCCCCCCTTTCCCTGTTGAGATCCTTTCCCTCCTTTCCTTCCTAAGGCCTTTCCCCCCGCTGAGATCTTCTCCCTATTCCTCCTTAAGATCCTTTGCCTCCTTTCCCCGTTGAGATCCTTTCCCCCCTTCCCTTTAAGGCCTTTCCAGATCTTTTCCCTTTTCCTTCCTAAGATTGCTTCCCCCCTTTCATTGTTGAGATCCTTCCCACCCTTTCCCGCCAAAGGCCTTTCCCCCCTGAGAGCTTCTCCCTTTTCCTTCCTTGGATCTTTCCCCCCTTTCCACCAGATCTTCTCCCTTTCCTCCCTAAGATCTTTTCCACCCCTTTCCTGTTGAGATCATTTCTCCACTTTCCCCTCTAAGGCCTTTGTGCCCAGATCTTCTCCCTTTCCTCCCTAAGATCTTTCCCCCCCCCCCTTTCCCTGCTGAGATCCATTTCCCCCTTTCCCCCCTAAGGCCTTTCCCCCCCCCCCTGAGAGCTTCTCCCTTTTCCTTCCGAAGATCTTTTCCCCCCTTTCCCTATTAGGCTTTCCCCCCTAAGTCCTTTTCTCCCAGATCGTCTCCCTTTCCTCCCTAAGATCTTCCCCCCCCCTTTCCTCCTTAAGATCTTTCCCACCCTTTCCCTGTTGAGACCTTTCCCCCCTTTCCCTCCCAAGGCCTTTCCCCCCCCTGAGAGCTTCTCCCTTTTCCTTCCTAAGATCTTTTCCCCCCTTTCCCTGTTGGGCTTTCCCCCCTAAGTCCTTTTCTCCCAGATCTTCTCCCTTTCCTCCCTAAGATCTTCCCCCCCCCTTTCCTTCCTAAGATTGTTTCCCCCCTTTCCCTGTTGAGATCCTTCCCACCCTTTCCCCCTGAGGCCTTTCCCCCCCTGAGAGCTTCTCCTTCCTTAGATCTTTCCCCCCTGTCCCTGTTGGCCTTTTTTCCCCCAGATCTTCTCCCTTTCCTCCCTAAGATCTTTTCCACCCCTTTCCCTGTTGAGATCCTTTCCCCCCTTTCCCCCCTAAGGCCTTTGCCCCCCTGAGATCTTCTCCCTTTTCCTCCCTAAGATCTTTTGCAATTTTTCCCTGTTGAGATCCATTCCCCCTTTCCCCCCTAAGGCCCTTTCTCCCTCTGAGTTTTTCCATTTTCCTCCCTACGATGTTTTCCCCCCTCTCCCTGTTGAGATCCTTTCCCTCCTTTCCCCCCTAAGGCCTTTTTTCCCCCGCGATCTTCCCCCTTTTCCTTCCTAAGATCTTTTCCCCCCTTTCCTTGTTGAGATCCTTTCCCGCCCTTTCCCCCCTAAGGCGTTTTCCCCCCCAAGATCTTCTCCCTTTTCCTCCCTAAGATCCTTTGCCCCCTTTCCCTGTTGAGATCCTTTCCCCCCTTTCCCCCCTAAGGCCTTTCCCCCCCTGAGATCTTCTCCCTTGTCCTCCCCAAGATCTTTTCCCTTGGTTGAGATCCTTTCCCCCTTTCCCCCCGAGATCTTCTCCCTTTTCCTCCCTAGGATCTTCTCCCACCTTTCCCTGTTGAGCTCCTTTCCCCCTTTTCCCCCTAAGGCCTTTTCAGATCTTCTCCCTTTTCTCAACAGGGAAAGGGGTGGAAAAGATCTTAGGGAGGAAAGGGAGAAGATCTGGTGGAAAAAAGGCCAACAGGGAAAGGTGGGAAAGATCTAAGGAAGGAAAAGGGAGAAGCTCTCAGGGGGGAGGAAAGGCCTGAGGGGGGAAAGGGTGGGAAGGATCTCAACAGGGAAAGGGGGGAAACAATCTTAGGAAAAAAAAGGGAGAAGACCTGGGAAGGCCTTAAAGGCAAGGGGGGAAAGGATCTCAACAGGGAAAGGGGGCAAAGGATCTTAAGGAGGAATAGGAAGAAGATCTCAGCGGGGGGAAAGGCCGTAGGGGGGAAAGGGGGGAAAGGATCTCAACAGGGAAAGGGGGGGAAAGATCTCAGTGAGGAAAGGGAGAAGGTCCCAGGCAGGGAAAAGGCCTTAGGGGGAAAGGGGGAAAGGATCTCAACAGGGAAAGGGGGCAAATGAGAAGCTTCTCCCTTTTCCTTCCTACATCTTTTCCCCCCTTTCCCTGTTGGGCTTTCCCCCCTAAGTCCTTTTCTCCCAGATCTTCTTCCTCTTCCTCCTAAGATCTTTTCCCCCCCTTTCCCCTAAGATCTTTCCCACCCTTTCCCTGTTGAGATCCTTTCCCCCCTTTCCCTCCCAAGGCCTTTCCCCCCCTGAGAGCTTCTCCCTTTTCCTTCCTAAGATCTTTTCCCCCCTTTCCCTGTTGGCCTTTTTTCCCCAGATCTTCTCCCTTTCCTCCCTAAGATCTTTCCCCCTTTCCCCTCTAAGGCCTTTGTGCCCAGATCTTCTCCCTTTCCTCCCTAAGATCTTTCCCCCCCCCCCTTTCCCTGCTGAGATCCGTTTCCCCCTTTCCCCCCTAAGGCCCCCCCCTGAGAGCTTCTCCCTTTTCCTTCCGAAGATCTTTCCCCCCTTTCCCTGTTAGGCTTTCCCTTCGTCCTTTTCTCCCAGATCGTCTCCCTTTCCTCCCTAAGATCTCCCCCCCCCCTTTCCTCCTTAAGATCTTTCCCACCCTTTCCCTGTTGAGATCCTTTCCCCCCTTTCCCTTCTCCCAGATCTTCTCCCTTTCCTCCCTAAGATCTTCCCCCCCCCTTTCCTTCCTAAGATTGTTTCCCCCCTCTCCCTGTTGAGATCCTCCCCACCCTTTCCCCCTGAGGCCTTTCCTTCCTTAGGTCTTTCCCTCTTCTCCCTTTCCTCCCTAAGATCTTTTCCACCCCTTTCCCTGTTGAGATCCTTTCCCCCCTTTCCCCCCTAAGGCCTTTGCCCCCCTGAGATCTTCTCCCTTTTCCTCCCTAAGATCTTTTGCAATTTTTCCCTGTTGAGATCCATTCCCCCTTTCCCCCCTAAGGCCTTTTTTCCCCCCGCGATCTTCCCCCTTTTCCTTCCTAAGACCTTTTCCCCCCTTTCCTTGTTGAG